GATTGGTACAACAAGAGGTCTACTCTCCTCTCCTTTAATCATCGCACAATCCTAGCACTCGATTGCAAAAGCTCCTCCTCCTCTCCCTCCTCCTCTCTTCCTCTCCCTCCCCACTACTCCTCTTCACCCCTCCCCGTACTCCCTCTTCCACTCTTTCCTGCTCTTCAACTCCATCTTCATCCCCTTTCACTTCTCCTCCTTCCCCTCCTCTCCTCTTCCTTGGTCTTCTTGCCGACCACTCCTCCAACAATGCCACCTCCCATCTGCTCCTTTCTGCTTCACCTTGGGCCGCTGAAACGCTTTCTGCTCCTTGCCCATGAGGCTTTTGATTTCCTCAACAGACACGAGGGGTGGGAGAGACTGAGACGCGTCGGAGAGCGCGGGGATTGAAATCTGAACCAGGAGGATGAGATCAGAAGGCATGAGGTGGAGAAGGAGTTGGACGGAAGAGAGGGGAGGGGAGAGGGGAGGGGAGGAGGGGAGGGGAGAGGGCAAGGGGGATAGGGAGGGCAAGGGGGAGGGGAGGGAGAGGAGAGGGGAGTAAGGAGTCTCGCCTGTTTGCCTTGCATTGTCTCAACTAAGGTGTTGTACACCTAGAAAATATTCAGCACTATCCCACTTTCTCCGCTTCCAACTGCCTCCCGCTCACTGCTACACCCCAACTTCACCATCGCCAATCTCTTCTCCTCCTCCCAGTCCTCCCTTTCCTCCCTTCCTCTCGTCTCGTCTCGTCTCGTCTCGTCTCGTCTCGTCTCGTCTCGTCTCGTCTCGTCTCCTCTGCCCGTTCTTCTCCTCTTACAATTTTCAGTTCGCTTGCATCAAGGATCCTGATCAGGTTACAACACGCTGATACTCCTCCTGCCACCGCTCCTCCCGCATGCTGCTCCCTCTCCCCTTCCTGCCAGCATGTTTCAGTGATTCAATTAGACAGCCTTCAGTCCCCACAGACAACACAACAACTCCTCTCCTCTACCCTCCTTCCCGCACACCATCATCTTGCCGCCAGTAAGACTGACCTTCGCACTTCTCGCGACCCAACGAGACAGCTTGTCCTCCTTGACCTGCTCCTCTCTCGGAACCCCGTTGATCCCTTGATGGCCCTTCCCTCTCACATCCACGGGAGCTGCAACAACAGCATTTCAACGACGTCATCATCATCTCAACATCATCACTGGAACAACCTTGCTCTGAGCTCACGGCCTGGCTTTCTTTCGACCGGTTCAGCCACCTTCGCAAACACATTCAGCAATTCTCTCAACCTCATCGCCAGCCATGATGTTTTGCAGACCTGTCGAGTTTGGACATGATGATGGCAGCGATCTGCAGACAGGAAACAACTTCTACTGCTCAGTAATTTGCGATCTCCAATGGTGCTGGGGGTCGAAGAATTAACGTCAGTATTTGTACCGGAGCCCAGAAGGAACATCTACACTCTCTCAAGGGAAGCAAGCTGAAGGATTAGGAAGAACCTCTTACGATCCTACCAGCGGGTTTACACTCACAAAACCAATCGCTCAGGCGACAGATCAAACCGTCCTTGCTTTCGCCTCCTCCACCCCCTTGATAGGATCCCATCACACCCGCACGATACAGCTCAGGACCGAGACGAGACTATCTCTCATCCTAACAAGGATCAGCATGCTCTGTCGAAGACGATCCTCCTGCTCCTTCTCGCATGCTCCTTCCTCCCTCCCTCCCTCCCTCCCTCCCTCCTCCTTCCCCTCTCGTCCTAAAAATCCACCATGACTCGACTTGGTGGCAACAGGTTTCAGGGCTCCACTGAAACAATCTGAAAGTTTGAAAATTTATCGTATAATTTGAAAATTAGAGACACAACCTTGTCGAAATGATGTACTGACAAAGTTTTGAGTGAATTATGGTACCAATATGTAGACATAAATCAAAGTTTATACAGAAAAATGTTCTGAGTTAACTATAAAATGAATCAAAAAATTAATGAAAATAGTTTTAATCAGTACTATATCTATTTTTGTTTACAAATGTTCTCGTTTTAAATTGTACTTTTAGCGATAATATAACTGAGGAGAATTGTGCCCGAAATAGATCAATTCTGTCCTGCTGCAAATGGGCACAAGCGGGGACGAGGGTTCATGTCAGGTTTGATGTACGAGTGGGGATGAGGGCATATTAGTTGGCTCTTCGCATATCATGGCTCCTCCAAGGGTAAGCGAAGGGGAGAGGAGGTCATGGTGGAGATGCGGGGAAGAGGAAGAGGAAGAGGCGGAGAGGTAGAGAGGTAGAGAGACGATGAGAGAGATGGTGAGGGAGGAGACGCAGCAGCGAGTGCTGGATCGGAGAACACCACGAGCGGATGGGATATGAAGGAGTTGTGGAAGATGTGGCGGGATCGCATGAGATATGAAGAGAGAAGCAGAGAACGGGGGTGCCTGAAAGCATAGCATCTTAATGGATACACAACAGCAAGAGGGAAGATTAGATACAGTCGGGTTAGCAAAGGACGTAGGATCAAATCGGGGTTGTAGCCATCCAGTGAGCGAAGGAATGGCACACAAGGATCAATGATTTTGGCATTTACCACAGACCTTTACTGCTGCCACGGCTGCTACTGTCGCTCTCTGCGCATGCATCGCCGTCATTCAGGTCATGACCAAGAAGGATTGGCTCGCCATGCTCATGCTCGTGCACAGATGCGCTCGCTCCCATCTGCCCGGCTCCAGGTTGGCGATCAATTCAGCGAGCATTCCAAGAAGGGTGAGGACTGGATGTCGTCGCCTCTCTAAGTGTTGACTTGGCTTGCTAGCTTATGTTGCCCTTCCTGATGCTGGAAGCTTGGGAACTGACAAGGCCTTCATCGGCAAGGGTGACGGCTCTGGCCAGGCATGGGCTTTGTCCTTGCCCTCTTGAGCCTTTCTTCCCCCAGTCGTCTTTCTGTATGTGACTTGTGTGCTTGCAGAGCACCAAGGACAAGGCCAAGTACCAGATGCTTGCTGGTACGTTGCTTCAGGGCCTCTTGTGATGGAAGTGATGGGGCACACAGGAGGTGTCTCCAAGGCTCCCCACAACTGGTTGCCCTGGGCCAAGCCGGTCGCGGTGTGCAGCGATCAAGATGTCGTTGAAGTCTGAAGCTTCTATCAGGTCCACAAGAAGCACTGGAGACCCACCAGAGCCTCCAAGTTGGTTCCCAAGGTTGTTGCGTACACCTTGCTTCAGATGTTGACAGCGCTCTTCAGTACACTGCTGCCAAGAAGCAGCACATGCTCGCCATGAAGATGCAGGTATGCCCCTTGCTGTGCACGATGCTTCCAAGAACCTCACCCTGACTGGTCAGAGAATGGGCCACCTCCGTGCTGCCCGTCCAGTCTTCTCCAGTGACACCCCTGGATCCATGATGGGGACCAACGATGTCTTCCTCGGTATATCATCCTCCCCTCCTCCCGCTGTGCTGAAGTAATCTTCCCGTCAGGTGCCCACCAGGGTGGTGATCCTACCTTCAGCACCCAGTCCCAGGTCGCCACTCCCAGGTTGGAACGCCACACTGTCTCGTGCAAGATCTGATCTTTGGCACAGGTACGGCGTTCGTGCTGGTCCCAACGTCCGCCAGCAGCAGGCTGTTTTGAATGTGCGCAGGGGACCATGGCAGGTCCTGATGCCCTTGTGCCTCGTGAACCTCGTCGTCGCTGATAAAAACTTTCGCAGGTGGCTCCTATCCGCGTCTTCAACTAAGCTCGCAATTTTTGGACGGCGAGTGAGTTCGTAGGATGGAATGAAATGATTTTTAAAAGATCTCAAAATCGGCCTCCTCGAATTTTCTTAATCTGCTCTATCTTCACTTGCAATCTCCGCACTGTCACAGCGGAAACCACCAGAATCAACCCAAAGATTTCCTCACCTCTCTATTCCCACTATCTCTGATCCTCACACTCTGATGCCTAACTGCTCATGCAATCTACCTTTCATGTTGTGCCCATCCTTGAGGCACCGTTAGGTCAGGAACTGAGACCGAGTGCAGACTTACCTTGGTGCAGACCCACTCCCCCCCTTGCAACATGTAATGTGTAGGACCTCTGTGGAAGGGCTCGAGTGAGGGGAGTAGCGATGAACACAACAACAAGCGGTATGTACGTTATGGGAGAGCTGAACCAAATCTGCCGTGAAGGCGTTTGTTTGTTGATAACCCATGCTCCCTTGTTGTTGACTTTGATGTTGATAACTCCGTCCTTCAACAGAAAGTAAGAGGCCAACATGATGATCACAAAGACTTGTCACAGCACAGACAACAGCATGTCTCCGACAGGTAGAAGGTGGAACTCACTCCAGACGCCTCTACTTCGAGGTCAGTGTCGGTCTCTTCCAACAACTCTAACTCATCCTACGACGACATGTAAGATTGTTGCATTCAAACAGAATTGAATGACCGTAATTTTTTCAAGAATTTGGTTTGCAATGTTGTGGTATTCGTCTTCTGTCATTTCACGTGCAATCACCATCGTTCGAATTGAGTGACTTGTGCCTGTGGTAAGCAAGTCAGGGCTCTAGACTGCACGAAGAAGGCGACATACCTTGAGCAAGTTTGAGCTGGGATAACAATGATTCACTTCCTGGTCGTCTCAAGAAGTGTTGTTGTTCAATAGCGGAAATGGACAGCCTCGTGCCATTCGAGGAATCTGTGTGGGGGGCAAAATGCTTGGGAGGGAAAAAGGCGAGAGGGCGAGAGGGCGACAAGAGAGAAGGGAAACGGCTAAGGCGCGCCATAGAAGAAAGAAAGAAGGAGGAGGAGGAGGAGGAGGAGGAGGAGGAGGAGGAGGAGTATCCTGTGCCGAGGAAGCGAGCAGTAGGGAGGCGAACGCGGAAAGTCGCCATCGTCGCAGTAGGGGGGGTGGTATGGCGCAAAGTCAAACTTGAAGTACCGGTAGTACGAATGAAGCAGGGGGGTGCTTTTGAGACTTGCGAATAAACATCCCCACATAGGGTGGTTTTGAAAAAAGGGGGTAGGGGTAGAAAACGTGGGGTAGACCAGAGATTAGTCCTTTACGACGGTACACTGACCGCCCCGGCCGACCGGGCCGGGCGGCCCGCCCCGACCGGTCCGGCCCGCCGGTCCCCCCGGCGGCCCCAGTGCGCCCGGCCAGCCGCTGGGCCGGCCGCGCCGGGTACGGTACTCACTGCCGTCACCGTCCGCACGGTTGCACCGCGCTGAGTCGGCCGCGCTCAGCGGCTGCCCGGCCGGCAGTCACCGGGCCCGGGGTACACTATCATCACTAGCCTGAGGCTACCGTCAGTACCGTCCGAGGCCCCCGCTACCGTACCGTACAGCCCGGCCCGGGTGGCAGTGTACCGCCGGTACTGACGGCAAGTTTCAACTTTTTCGGAGCCTCGGCTGCAGTGCCACGGGGTCATGCTAACGGAGAGGGGGCTTTCCTAGCCGGCGTCTCAGGTTGCTACATTCCGTAAGGAATGGTTTCGGAAGTCCGATCCTCTCAAGTTGACTTCCGAGTTCCGTCTGGATGCTTGGATTTTCTCATCGCAGTCACGCTCATTAAACTCAGTCTTGAGCAAAAACTGTCTTTTTACAACTAAGGTCGATGTGATATCTGCGTGACTTTTGGCACAGTACAGAGTCAGTGAGCGGCGGGTGGCGGGCCCGGCGCCGCCCGGGCCGGCCGCTCAGGGCCGGCCGGGGGGGGCCGGCCCGCCGCGGCGTCTTCGGAAGTTCGGAAGTTTGTGGCTTTCGTTCATGGCGGGAAGCGGGCAGGGAAGATGAAAGGGAAGAAGCATGCGGACTAGCAGAGGAAGGACGTAGTGTGGTTGAGGACAGCTTTGTAGCTCATAGATGTGTACCTATTTCATGCATGATTTATGCGTGTTCGGGAAATTTTAAGCGACCCACACATATATTACGATGAGGATGTTTAGATTTGCTTTGTCCAACAATAAAAACATGCCACACGGCAGCATTCAGGAAAGAAATGCTCTCAGGATGTGTTATCCTACATTCGACAAGTTGTTGTACATGTTGACAAGAGTTTTCTTTGCTCGAAAGCCAATGCAAAATTACAAGCGATCCCGGACACTGCCAGCACTGCTGCAGGATGCGCACGAAGGAATGAAGAGAAATGCTTCGATTCAGCGAGCCGTGAAGCCTGGAGAGATCTTTCCCGTCCTCTTTGAGTCGTCAAGCTCAATGTTTCTTGTTTCTGTGCCTTCTCTTCTCTCTGATCTTTGTTCACGCTGTGCGACAGGCAACAAACGACCGGCATGAAGGTTGAACGCGAAGGATCTGACAGCGAGGCCAAGTCGAAGCACACCACCCCGGTGTCCAAGAAGCACAAGACTGATCGAACTCCAAAGAGGAGGCGTAAGGAGGACGTTGAATTCCCATCGGATCTCATGGTTTGGTAAAACCAGCCACCTTCTCGTTTTGCGTCATATTCACAGCGATTCAGGTTCCAAGGGAAAGACTCCTCTGACAGGACAGTTGAGCACCAGCAGTCAGAAGAGCAACAAGGCATGAAGACGCTCAGGAATGTCTGAACAAGTCCATGTTCAAGGAGCGCAGATGTCTTTTCAGCCGCATGATGGCAATCGGTCTACCAATAAAGTCAGGAGAGAAAAATCAGCTGAAGGACAGAGTTTACACAACCTGGGAGTGAGTCTGCACCGCCAGCTTGCGATCGACGGCATGGCAGACCTGTCAGGATATTCGGGAGGGACTGTTTTCTTCATCGTCCTGACGTGGAGGATGAGTATTTTGCAAGGGGGAGGAGTGATGGAAGTTGGGAGAACAAGCATGCCCATAGAGCGAGAAGAAACTGACTTACATCATTCTCAGCTTCACGCCGGATGTGCTCCACTTGTAGTTTCCGTCTAGCAGCCTGAGGTCGGAAAACACTTTCAGCGCCTCAAGGCTCGGTGAGAGTGCAAGAGGGAGGTGGGAGGAGGGGAAGTAGGAGAAGAGTGTAGGAAGGAAGTGGGGGAGGAGCAGGGGAGGGAGGAAGGGAGGGAGGAGTGGGGAGAAGGGGAGGGAGGGAGGAAGGGAGGGAAAGATAAAAAAGGCAAAAGTAGTAGGAGCAGGGAAAGGAGCAGCAGTAGCAGCAAGAGGTCCAGAAGCGATGGGAAGCAGTTGGGGTTTTATGTTGTCACCTGTCGATGCAGTAGAGAGTTTGGCCAGCAAAGTTGTTCTCAATGAGAGGACAGACCTGGAGGGAGACGAAGGGAAGGGAAAGACATCAAGACTGTTCACGTCCGTCTACATGCCTACCAGCCTTCCTCCTGGATTCAGCCTCGGCAGCAGCTGAGATTTTAGGAGGTCAGGAGTGACTGCAACACAGTCAACACCTCGCGCATCTGATCTGAGAATAAGGGCTGCTGGTGCTGGTGCTGGTGCAGGTGCAGGTGCAGGTGCAGGTGCAGGTGCAGGTGCAGGTGCAGGTGCAGGTGCAGGTGCAGGTGCAGGTGCAGGTGCAGGTGCAGGTGTTGCTTCTACCTCTGTCTAGATGGTTCTCCTCATTCCTCCTGTTCCTGGCCCGTCCTCGTCTCTACTGTTCTTATCCACTTTCATTCTTCTCTCCTCTTGCTTCTGCTGCTTCTGCTTCTGCTGACCCTCCGCCTTTCCCCTCCCTCCCCCCACCAAAGTCATCATGCCAATCATCAACTACTCTGGAGAGATCGCAACTGACCTGCAGCCCCTACATGTATGGCATCGTATGTCAAACTTGGAAGCTCGCTGTAACAGCAGCTGTCAACTCCCAGCAAAGAGCCATCTCTGCGATACCCCAACAACACATTCCCTTCCATGATCTTGACAGGAGCGCAGGACTGGATAGAGGACATGAGCTTCAGCGCACAGAGTAGATAGGGTGGAGGAGAACAGCTCCTACCCCTCTGTCGCAGACGCTGCAGATGTTTTCAACAGACTGCCTTGCTAACCCCTTGATACGTTCGACCCCGTGGACCTGATCTGTTCAGTCACACGTCTGAACGCTGCACGCTTCTCTCACCTCTCCTCCTCGTCCAATCATGTATGCCACTGTAGGAGAAACGTTCAGATGCGCTGAAGCACAAGGACAGTAGGGTCACTTGCTGCTGTCACCTGCCCGCTGAACAATTGAGATGTCAGAGGGAGGAGGTTGCAGGAGGAGGGAGGAGGGACCAGTAGAAAGGAACGAGTGAGATGTAGAACAAGTTGCGGAGAAGAGAATGAAATGATGTTGTGGTAGGGGAGAGGAGGCGTGATGTATGAAGAACAGGAAAGGGGTTGTCAGCAAGGGGAACTGGTAAGGAAGGAAACAAAATGCTTCAAAACATGATACGTTTGACTTGTAGCAACAGCAATGATAGCATGAAGACAGTAAAGGCAAGAGACTGTCAGGGTTTCCAATCACCTTCCAGATCCCACGTCAAGGGCTCGAGCTCCAGGGAACAACCTGCTTGAGAGAAGCTCAAGACTGAGACTGTGAACCTGACAGATTGAGAAAGCACGTGAGAACAAAGAATAGAGACAGTTGTTGGATGTGTTTGTGAAGAATGAGGGAGGTGGTTAAGGGACTGCAGAAGAGTCCTCACCCATGGCTCAGAAATCGTCGCATCTTTGCCGATCGGGATGGGATAGTCCAAGTAAGGATCACAGCTCTTGTCCTGCATGCTTCATCATGTCCGGTAGTCTAGCAATCAGTTCTTATGCTCACCTGGCAGCAGAACTTTGACCTGTCGCAGACTCTCAAGCTCTGCGAGAATGTTTGTTACTGTGATGGTCATGGTCATGGTGATGATGGTGATGGACGTGTTGACAGTGTTGTTGATGATGACGATGGTGAAGGTTGTGGTTGCGGTGGTGATGGTGATGGTGGTGATGGTGATGGTGGTGGTGATGAAGGCGTCATGGTACATCTATCATTGTCAACGTACCTCCTCAACTCGGCTTGACCTCAAAGCGCCAGACATGCGCAGGTAGGAGAACAAGCCCTCCTGCCCAGAATTCTTGCCCTGCCGGCGAAATCAATTCTGTCGCATCCTCCTCCTGCCTCCTGCCTCCTGCCTCCTGCCTCCTGCCTCCTGCCTCCTGCCTCCTGCCTCCTGCCTCCTGCCTCCTGCCTCCTGCCTCCTCCTCCTCTTCCTGCCTCCTCACCCCTTGGAGGAGCGGAAGAGCGCACAGGCATGGAGGAGGACACGTTAGCAGGACCTGGCCATGCTCGTGAGCAAGGAGGAGGTTGAGAGCCGGGACAGCTCACCGTGATGGCGAGGAGAAGAGATAGGCAGCGATCTGTCCTCCTGAGCGCTGATCGCACCATCGCGATCCTCTCCCCTTCCTTGTCTTTCCTTCTCCTTCTCCTGCTCCTGCTCCCGCTCCTCCTTCTCCTGGTCCTTCTCCTGGTCCTGGTCCTGGTCCTGGTCCTGGTCCTGCTGGTATTTCCTGCTTCACCTTCAGTCGTAAAAATTTCCCAGCCAACTTTGTTGCGCCTTCCCTCCCCTCCCCTCCCTGCCCTGCCCTGCCCTGCCCTCCCTCCCTCCCTCCCTCCTCTCCCCACCCGTGCCCTCCTCTCCCCTCCCGTGCCCTCCCTCCCATGGCTCCCAGGCTCCCCGCATCCCCTTCCGATCTCTTTACTGAGGATCCTGCTGAGGATCCAAAAGGATGAGACGCATCGGATCGTTGTAGCCTGGTGATTATGGATGTACGTGATGACTCAAGAATATGATTCATTGACAACGATGATGATGATGTTGTTGTCGTTGACAATGACAATGATGATGACAATGATGATGATGATGATGTTGTTGTTGTTATTGTTGTTGTTAGTGATGATGATGATGATGATGATGACGACGACGACGACGAAGACGACGACGAAGATGATTTTACATTTTTTGTAGCAATGGTGTTCAAAGATGATGTCGATACGCCGACTATGAGGAGGGAAGGAGGAAGGATGAAGTGGGAGAAGAAGGAGGAGGAGAGGGAGTAGGGGGAGGAAGGGGAGGAAGGGGAAGAGGAAGGTTTCAAGCAATGTAGATGCATTAATCGGGGGAAAGATTACAGTGACACTCAGGGAATAAAAGTCGCAGGTCGACCGGCCCGTTCTTACTTGTCTTCTAAGTTGTCGACGAGATTCTCAAGCTTGCAGAGGGGACCACACCTGAAGATCAGAAGGTCAATCGTGCCGATCTTCGTTACAACCACCATCACCGTCTATCACCATCATTATGTTACAACACAATCACCACATCCTTCATCATTCGAATCGACGTCACATTCCACATGAATTGCATCATCATCATCATCATCAACAACAACAACAACAAACAGAGCTGTCTTACCCATCGCGGTTGGATGTTCTTCTCTCTCTCACGTCTTCAGCGTCACGCTGGTTATGGTCTGCGGGGAAGAGTGAGCGGCACCAGATGGTCAAGGTAAGGAGCAGCGTCAGGTAAGTGAAGTGAAGTAAGGAGGAGAGAAGGAGACAGGATGGGGAGGTAGGAAAGGCAAGAAACGGAGGGAGGGAGAGACGCAGGGAGGAGGGAAAGGAGGAAGGGGGCAGGGGAGGAGGAATGGGAGAGGTAGAGCAGGCGAGGGAGAAAGTTACTAACCTTCCCGGTACATCTTTAGCTTTGCGCTCTTCTCATCCTCCTCGTCCGGCCGCTCAACAGCTTTCTCCTCTGTACCTTCAGCCTTCTCCTCCTCCTCCTTGGAAGCCTTCTCCTCAGCTTCTTTCTCCTTCACCTTCTCCTCTTCCTTCACCTTCTCCTGCTCCTTCTCCTCCTCGTTCTTCAGAGCCTGAGGGTGCAACTTCTGCTTCATGATGCTCTCCTGCGCAGCGATCGAGTCCTCCGCCTCCTTCTCCGACTTCTCCGGCTCCGCCATGGGCCCGTCGTTGAGAGATGCGAGGAGGGAGGGAGAGTTGTTCTCTGGGGGCACCTGCGAGCATACGTCCACCATCCCCTTCAGCGCCGTGTCCCACCGGGACGGGTAAGCGTCACGCCAGTTGTACCCGAGGTAGCAGATGAAGCCGCACGAGCAGGGTCTGCCCTGGGCCGCGGTGACGGGGCAGTCGCGGGGCAGGACCTTGACGGGGGGAAGGGGGGCAGCTGGGTCGTTGGCCGGGTTCTCTGCCATGCAGAACTTGATGGCGACGACGGCGGAGTTGTAGGGGGAGGAGTAGATCACGGAAGTGCCAGAGGGGAGAGAGTCCTTCTTGATCGAAGTGACCTCAATGCCGATCTGGGGGAGGGTGCGAGGAGAGGGGAGGTTCTCCTTGGAGCCCTTCACCAGGAGGTCATGCTGCTCCTGAGTCAAGCCTGCAAGGTTGTCAGTGTGGGATAGGTGGGAGGAGAGGAAGGGGAGGAGACTGACGAGAAGAAGGGGAGGAGACTGAGAGGAGGCGAGCAGACGAGAGGGAGAAGGAGAAGGAGGAGAAAGGAAAGAAGAGAAGACGAGGACGGGAGGAGGACGGGAAGGGGGAGAGGGAGGAGTAATACCTTGGAAGTGAGGGAGGCGGACAAAGGGGCCCGGGTCCAGGTTGCCATCAGCAGGCTCAAGCTGATAGCTGAAGTAGCGGTTGATAAACTCGAGGCTGAGGATGCCCCCGGTGAAAATCATGGTATTGCCGTTAGCCACGAATTGCCGGATGTTCTGCCCGACGATCTTCTGGGGGTTGACCACGAGGAAGTCCCACTCGATAGGGGGGAAGAGGAGCGCGTTGCAGCAGATGCCCGACAGCTTGTTGAACATCCCTCCCTCCAGCGACCGCAGGAATTTGGGGTCCCTCCACTCCCCTCCTGCGATCGTGCCCATCTGAAACACATGGCGCACGTGCTCCCCGGATCCGGTGAAGCGCTTGTTGGTCATGCGGCCCCAGTACAGCCAGAGGTTCATCGGGGCCGAGTAGGGCTCTCGGTCAATCCCGATCCCCGTCGGCTTCGTCCATGTTCCCATGAGGGAGGTGGAGGATGAGGAGCGGGAGGTAGAGATCAGCGCGCCAACAGCGACGCAGGCCACGACGGCGAGGCCCAGCACAACTTTCTTGCGCAGGGAGAGGGTCTTGGACTGATAGGGCAGCTGCTTCAGGGCGGCTCGGGAGATGGTCCCATAGCTCACGGAAACCATGATTGCCCTGTGGTGCGATAGCAACCAAACATTAGCAAAGAGAACACGTGGTCACATATCGTTCATTGCGCAGGAAAAAGACTATCGCTCTCATTATCCTTCCCTGCTTGTCTCACTGAACAACTCTCATTTCCTGTCGTTACCTCCATATTCCTCTCACTCTCTGACCTCTCTTACTTTATCTCTCTGTCCACACAGGTTTAGACTTGTGATCATTTTTTCTTTAGTCTACGCAATCACAAAACAATGCTTCACAGCATCAAAGAAAAAAAATAAGGAGTTGTGAAACACAGACAATTTGAAATCTACTACAAAGGTCTGTGGATCTCACATCAGCAGATCTTTCAAATGCTGCCTCAACACTGACTCTGATACGTCACACTCTGAACCTGAGTTCTTCAAATGGACATGCTCATTATACATCGAATTATCGTTTAAAAAAATATCTTATTCTGCTCCACATCTAAATCGCTCTTTGCATAACAACGGTTAGTGCTGACTTGAAAGTTTTTCATTTTAACAGTCTCCATCCTCTCGTCCATGTTCATATATGAATGTGCCTCGAATTATTTCCATATATCACCACTCCACGTTTTGACTAGCTCATTCAATATCTCCTTCCATGACCTTATCATTTCTATTCTACTCTTTACACCTTCAACATCCCTTTCTTCAGTACTCAAGTTCATCTGCTTGTTTTCACTCTCCTCTCTCTCTCCCCTCCCCCCCCCCATCTCTCACATCTTTCCATCCTCTGCTCTCTGCTCTCTGCTCTCTGCTCTCTGCTCTCTGCTCTCTGCTCTCTGCTCTCTGCTCTCTGCTCTCTGCTCTCTGCTCTCTGCTCTATGCTCTCTGCTCTCTGCTCTCTGCTCTCTGCTCTCTGCTCGCTGCTCTCTGCTCGCTGCTCTCTGCTCGCTGCTCTCTGCTCTCTGCTCTCTCTCCCTTTGCCCTCCCATTACCTGCGCTGCCGCGATGCAGGACGCGAAGAGTCGCCGTGAGTGGGCGATGATACATATGGTTTGCCTAGTTGGTATGCACGGTGTCTGCACGTTCTTTTCCCGAAGTTTTCAGAATTCAAAACTACATGCAAAGTTTTGAAGTTTTATTCAATTGCCAAACTTTCAAAGTTCGGCGCCACATGGCAGTGGGGGAAGGAGGGAGCTTCGAGGAGGTGGCGCGGAAGGACGAGCAGTTCAAGCAGGAGGAGAAGAATCGAGCCTGGAACTCAGAAGAAGAAGAGCATGCTCTCCGCGAGATGTTTGAGGGTGAGAAGAGACTTCAGGAGGCTTTTGCACCTTGACTCTCGCTCCTGCTAGGTGCCAGCAACAGCCTCGTTGCGAGTTCTTGTGCGGCATCCATCAAGACGCCATGCTGGGAGCAGTGTAAAGAGATCTGGATGAAGATAAAGAATGACCAGGTAGGAGAGAGAGCGAAGCATGTTGTGCAGGAGCTGGAAGCAGAGCACCTCAGGCCGACAGGGATTCTTGATCGACTGAGGAAGGGAGTCAACCCAGCATGCTTCGGGCTTCACACGTTGATGAAGCACCTTGATAGATGAGGAAGAGGTGTGTGTGAAGAATCTCCCAGAGGAGAACGATGCGATCGGTTGACAGATCTCAATACGGAAATGAAATGAAACACGTTGTCAGACTGTGATTTTTTGAAACGAAACCTTCATCCACATTCCATGTGCAGTGAATGACAAGCATGTGGTCTTGTCCTAGTGAATTTTTCATGCCATCCTGACACAGACGGGTTTCCTTTATGATTTGCTTGTATGACTACTTGACGATGAATGGCCCACCGAAATGGCAAATCAAGTCTTCAAACTACTTCAAATTAGGTGTTAGATAGTACCACACACTTCATTGACAGCAGCAATCGTTCAGTATTTCAGAGTAGTTGCAGGGCCATCAGTGTAGTATTGTAAATACTGTTGTGGTGGGTAGAGCTCTGACAAAAGTGCTGTTCGGACTTGCTTCGAAGGGCGGCGAATGCGAGCTGGCGAACCTTCGACATCGGCAGGACGCCTCTTCTTGGCCGACTGACCTCTTCCACCATCCAGACCACTGTCTTGCCTCGTCCGCTTCTTAGCAGCAGACCGCTCCCTTGCTCCATCCTGGATCCTGGTGTACTTGTTCTTTGCCTCGTCGCTGTAATCTAAATGCAACTCCCATTGGCACTCTCCAGTGGCAGGGTTGCTGTGATGCATCACTGAACCGACAAAGTCGTTGATGCAAGCTCCATCTTTCTCCTTAGAAACAGCAGACTTGAGGCCGAGTTGCAGGATAGCGTTGCACATGACATTGCTAAGATCCCCCTGGTCTTTGTTGAACTCCTTCTTCGTCCAGTATGCGCGAATGGCCATGGCTAGCCACGTGATACGATCAAAGGCACGTTTGATCTGGAGCTTGCTCGGAGGTTGGTTGGAATCAGAGTTCTGTATGATGGGATAGACTCCCGTGAGCTTGAAGAGTTTGCCTTCGAGTTCACACATGGTCCATCTTTCCTCCCCCATGCTATCGCTCAAAGACTGGAGCTGGTTCCCAATTAGCCTCGCCCCATACCAGCAGATAGCAAGCAGATAGGCATTGCCCATGGTTTCGATGCTGCGATACTGGATCAGTTTCAAGCTGGACAACATGCCTGGCTTGATGGTGACGTCAAGCCCATATGAAATGGGGTCCTTGTCCTGCGCCTCAACACTGAGGTTGAGATTTTCCTCTTTCAAGAAGCCGTCACTCAGGTCGGCACTGACTATCGTCAGCTGTTCTGGAGTCGGAATGGACTGCCTGTTTATCCAGTCCAGCCAAGAGGATTGCGCAGGCGGTGCTGCGTTGATGCTGTTTCCTGTCATATTGATTTCTAGCTGATCGAGCCCATGTGTGATGGTGGCCCTCATCTCTGAATGACCGGAAGGTCTGTCTTCATCGTTGCCCTGCACAAAGCTCGTGAAGATCTTCGGGTGCGCAGGAGTTGCGAGAGTCGAATTACTCCAGTTGATGGCTGCATCAACCGAGTTCTGCACATGTATACAATGGTTGTAATCACGGGTGGAGATGATCAACATGTGCTTGGAAATGTCGAGCTCTTCCTCGATGAAGGCCCCGGGGGCGAGTTGGAGAGAGAAAGGTCCGTGCGGCATTGCTGTGCGGGGGGAGCTTGCCGGCCGACGCTCCCGTCCCAGACTTAGAAGGTCAGTAAGGGTGGTGAGGGGGTGAGGGGGTGAGGGGTGGTTGATATCAGTAAACAAAAGAAATTGGTGGTGGGTGCCATGTCATTGCATGCAGAAAGGGTGGGTAGACAGGGTACCATCGGGGGGTATAGAGAAGACAAAGGGTAGATTGTAGGGGGTAGGGGGACCATTTCGATGCGTCTCTGACCGGTACGAAGCCCAAAAAGAAGTTTGAGATGTGTTTTTTAATATTTGAGATGTGTTTTTATATCAATAGTATAAGTTTTATTTTGTACCGTGATCGAAAGATTCCTGAGACAATATTTGTACAGATTTTCACTGAAATGTATAGTTTCCTGTACTATCGCTTTTACATATCCAATACAATAAGAGTACGAGGATCATAAAAAGTACCGTGAATAATCTGACCTGGTACCATCGGCCCGGATTTTTCTTCCTCGGAACTTCGGAAGTTCCGAGTTCAACAAGTGTGCCGCGGGCCTCGGCGGGCGGCAACCGTTTCGGAACAACTCAGTACTTGAAAGTTGCCAGACGGCGTGACGCCCGGCCGGTCCGACCGACGGTCGGCGGCAACCGTTGAACAACTCAGTACTTGAAGTGTTGAACTCCGACAGTGGCCGGGTGCCAGTCAGCCCGGCCGCGGGCCTTCAACAGTGCGGCCGGGCCAGGCCAGCCTGGCAGTGTATCCCCCCGGCGAGCCCGGCGGCCCGTCCTCACTTGAGTAAATATTTTAGGTATCCTCTGAGGGCAGTGATGTTTTGCAGGCCAGGTGCAATTTGTCTGCCTTTTGAGGCCCCAGATGGTTTTTACTACACAGGGTCGAGAGATGATTACCACTCGGAGTCGTCAGCATCAAACGATGTTTTCCTCAGATTACTACCAGACTTGTCATCATTGAAACACCAGGCAGTAATCATCTGGTATCTCAGTTGTAAAATGGTAGATAGGGGTCCTTCCCCAGGGGAAGAAGGGGTAATGATTGTGTCATCACGGGTCATCACGGGTCATCATGCGTAATCATGGGGTCATCAGGGGGTCATCAGGGGGTCATCAAGCCGTCATCCTTTGTTGATCGGAAGTCATCACGAGGTCATCAATTGCGGAGGATCTGACGGAGGAAGTGATATGCCTCCTAAATTACTACACAGTCATGAGGTTCTTACCACCGAAATTCTCGGGATCTCACTGCATCACGATACCTCTCAATCTTCAGATTGTGGCAACAGAGCGCCTTCAAACCCAAGGTCTATTATTCCCCGAGGTCTTTACTATGTCTAAGGTACCCACATCCCTCTTCTTCAATAGCATGTTTGTATAAGAAATTTCAACCCTCACAAGGCTGTCTGGACTTGGTCGATCCCCATCGACCTCTTGACGACATTTTCCACAACACCCCATGTTTACAACCCACCTTCTGGCTACTTTCAGGCCGCATGACACCGGCAAAAAAGGCGAACATCTCTTTACCACTGAAAACATTGTTATTTACCACAGCGCAGCTGTCATCACAGAAACTTTACAACAGCCAACCATCCTCCTATTGGGCTTGTCCCCCCTCGGCCTTCCCTACATAATCAGCCGCTCCCCCTTCCTCCAAACCAGAGCTTCCCAACACCAGCACCACTCATTCCTGCTGTTCTTCCACCTGCTCCCTCTACATCCTTGTCACAGCAACATCCTCCTCCTACCTTGATCCTTTGTTCTTGGACCCAACCTCTTATTGTTGGCTGATTCTTGCTTACTTCGGAGCGGATTGTAGTGGCAATCAGATACCGATGCAAGTAGCGCAGATGGCGATGTCCATTCCGATTACTTCTTTCTCTAGCTTCTTCGACAACGATTCCTCCGCTTGGTCTTCCTCCGATTCTGACTCGGAGACCTCCCAGCACACAGCGCAGGTCCTTCCTCGCAAGCGTTTCCTCAAGGACTCCAAGGAGCGTGTGGGCGGTGCCGTCGTTCTGAGCCCCGCATCGCTATCGAAGCTGTTCCACATGCGGCAGCTGGACGCAGCGAAGCACCTTGGGATCTCGCTGACGTCACTCAAGAGCGCGTGCCGGCGCATCGGGCTTGATCGATGGCCCTACGAGAGGACGTACGAGCGCATGTCGGAGAGAGGATGCAGGAAGGGCAGCAGGAAGGGGAGGAAGGAGTCAGCGAGGGAATCGGGGAAGGAACTGGAAGAGACAAGAGGAGGGTACGGGGAGGCATATTCTTTGTTCGACGAGGCCCTGGAGCATGTGGAAGGGGTATCAAGGAAGAAGAACACATACTTGAACTACGCGGATGTGCTGAACAGTTCTTTGCAATGAAAGATGAGCTATCTTGAAACATTTTTCTTAAAGAAGGTTCATGTTGTACAGAGTGAAACTGCTCGCTGATACCGGTGGACACATGCAAAGATTAGAGTGAGAATGGGAAAGGACGGAATGAATGGTGCCGAAAGGGGTATTGGTATAATAGATTTGCCTACATATTTGACTTGGAATGAAATCGTGTATTTCACAACTTTTTATTCTTGCACTCTTTACTTGCTCCTCCATATAGAAAAACACACACGCACACCTAGTACTTGCGATGGCCACACAAACAAGGGATTTCACATAGCATAAGAGAAGATCCCAGATTCCACATGCTCCAGGGCCTCGTCGAACAAAGAATATGCCTCCCCGTACCCTCCTCTTGTCTCTTCCAGTTCCTTCCCCGATTCCCTCGCTGACTCCTTCCTCCCCTTCCTGCTTCCCTTCCTGCATCCTCTCTCCGACATGCGCTCGTACGTCCTCTCGTAGGGCCATCGATCAAGCCCGATGCGCCGGCACGCGCTCTTGAGTGACGTCAGCGAGATCCCAAGGTGCTTCGCTGCGTCCAGCTGCCGCATGTGGAACAGCTTCGATAGCGATGCGGGGCTCAGGACGACGGCACCGCCCACGCGCTCCTTGGAGTCCTTGAGGAAGCACTTGCGTGGAAGGACCTGTGCTGTGTGCTTGGAGGTCTCCGAGTCGGAATCAGAGGAGGATGGAGTATATGCAGATTGCATGGTTATACAAGTTGAAAATTTTTGAGGAATTGTGGCCGCACAGTGCAAGTCCGAACGCGAGCTCTTTGGCAGAGGCCGCTCGCAGAAGGAAGAGCAGGTTGGTTCCACTTGAGGGTTGAGACCCTCAGAGAAAATTGAGCGTTGGGAAGAGTTTGATCTTTTGAAAACGATCTGGTCTATGGTCGGCGACAAGCCTTGGATCCGGATCTAGCAAGAACCTACGAAAGTGTGCAGGGAGGATAGGGGAATAGCTCGAGTTAATGGAATGTGCCAGGAGGAAGCAAGCAGGCTGTAGGAGGCAGCAAGCTAAGTTGGAGCAGAACACGATGGGACAGCAAGAGTGGAGATAGAGCAGGAGGAAGAGAAGGAGCAGGAGCAGGAGGGCGGGGAGAGACGTGAGGGATCGGGCGAGTCGCTAACCTCTATAAAGGAAGATCAGGGGAGACTGTGTAGTAAATTACTCATCCTGGCTGACGTGTAGTAAAGGCAGACTTTACCCCTGGGGCGGCCATGGTGCAAACTTCCTCACCCAAGAGTTTGATTACCCCATGGTCCCAAGGTGATCGATTTCTCAATTGAATCAAAGCAGATTTTCACCAGGGTGTAAGCTTTCTTCAAGCAAGTATGACAGTCCTAAGGTCGAATTAAACTCCTATTTTCGAAAAAAAAAATTTTCGGATCACTGTCACGCCTTTGCTGACTCGGAGGAACTGACCGGGCCGTAATCTCCGACTCAGCCCGGCCTATGAGGCTGGCGGGACTGACAGTGAGTGAGTGACTCAGTGAAAACCGTTGAGCACTGATGATGAAAGATGATGAAACTTCCGAAACTCGGGAGGCGAGTGTGACTCAGTGAGGCCGCCCCCCCCCCCTCGCGCAAGTTTCTGCAAAAGTCACTCTCCCCCATCGATTTGTCAAAACATTCATCATCTTCTTGAATGCCTCCATGTTGAGAATGGAAGATTTGATCAAACAAGAATCTCAACCTCGCCTTGCGCGTGTGGTACATCAAAACATGCTCCTGTCCATTCACTCGAATCTGCTCTCTCTCCTCCTCAGACTTGAGATAGTGATCCACCATGATATTCAGATGCCTCAAGTCCTCCCCATCAAAGAATATCAGCTGAGTTCCGTTGTCGAAATGCTCCTCCATCCCTTGAACGAAGTTGTGCACCACAAACGCCCCGCACCTCATCGCCTCGTATACCTCCTCTCCCCAGTACCCCGATGACGGACATCGTTGCGCCTCGTCGATGCCCAGACAACCTCCGACGACGATCAGAATCCTGGTTTTCTTCATCAGCTCGCATCTCAGTTCAGCACTCAGTGGGAAAATCTCCAGGTGGAACCTGCTTCCGAACTCCCGAGCAAGCGACTTTTCCACCCTCCTCCTCAGACCCCATCCGTGTCCTCGATGAATT